AAGGTCATGTAATACAACAGCATCCAGTAGAAACTACTTTGTACGATCTCTCTCAAACAAATCTCCATTGGATATGTTGGAGGGCTAACACTCTGTGTCGTTGTTAGCAAGTGTGGATGTTCAGATAGGAGGGGGATGGCTCCTCCCTCCTGCTGTTTTATCTATCATTGCTTAACCTGTCACACGTGAGCTCAAGCTAAACTCATGCCAGGGACAGCAAACATAGGAACCATTGAACCAGGGGCAGCTTCACGGTTTCTGCGCTGCTTGTGGAAATGGATACCAGCTCTTCACTATTGAATGCTGCAGGGGTTGAATGTGGAAAAAGCTTATGGGCACATACCTCCAGGAAGCCTAGGTAGTGTCAAAATGGCACCAGGTGAAGAGTGCAACCCGGTAAATACACCAGGAGTCCGTTGACATGGCAGATGCTGGTGCTGCGACAGTCCTCGTTAGTATAGTGGACAGTATCTACGCCTGTCATGCTGAAGACTGGGTTTCGACTTCCTTTGTACAATCTCTCTCAAACTTAAGTCACAGTCACAGTGACAGTGACAGCCTGCCTATTTCCATTGGATATGTTGGAAGGCTAACACTCTGTGTCGTTGTCAGCATGTGTGGATGTTCAGATAGGAAGGGAATGGCTCCTCTCTTCTGCTGTTTTATCTATCATTGCTTAACCTGACACACGTGAGCTCAAGCTCAGCTCATGCAAGGGACCGCAAACCTGGGAACCATTGAACCAGGAGCAGCTTCATGGTTTCCGCGCTGCTTGTGGAACTGGACAACAGTTCTTCACTGTTGAATGCTGCAGGAGTTAAATGATGAAAAAGCTTATGATCACACAACTCAAGAAATCCTGAGTAGTGTCCCAAAGGCACTGGTTGGAAAAAAGTTTCTCTTCTTCTTTTATGAAACCACGTGAAGTCAGACAGTCACTGTGATTTGTAACCTCTATATCTCCACTTGACTCATTAGGTTACAAAAAGCATCGTTGGAAGGCTGGATAAAAACAAAAAGAAATCAGTTCATGTCAGCGACAGTGAGTGTGGGTTCGTAGATGTGAAAGCTCTCAAAAGTAAAAACAAATTTGCCAATTTAACGCTTTAGTCAGTGTTCCTTGTCAAGATCCAGGTTATTTGAATACAGAGCCAGATCACATGATTTGTACTTGCCCTCCATCGTGAAGACTGCAACCCGGTAAATTTCACATCTGCAAACCCACACTTACCGTCACTGACGTGAATCGAATTTGACTTGTCTTTATCCATTTTTCCAACAATGATTTTTGTAATTTAACATGTCAAGTGGAGATACAGAACTTCCGAATCTCAGTCAGTTTGACTTCACCTGGCTTCATAAAACCACAAATAGATCACTTTGTTTCCGCCCGGTTTCGAACCGGGGACCTTTCGCGTGTGAGGCGAACGTGATAACCACTACACTACGGAAACTGTTGAATACTTTTCAAATCACTACAGTACCTATACCATCCTGTCTGCCCCTGACTCTATGAAATCTATCAGTGTACACTGAGCACAGTGAGCACTTGAATTGAAAAAGCCTAATCCAAATGATTGGAATGTGCTACAAAGGGTCTTTGAAGATATCAGAAGAGACATTCAAATCTGGATGTAGTCACAGATAGAACAAATGGCATCCAAGCTTACTATGACCAAGTGACTCCATCTCTGTTGAAATGCAGGCCTTCTGTCCAAGCTGTTCATGTCTGCTGTAATTTTTCATAATTAGTTGACTGGATTCATTTTCAAAGAATACAGGCTGACCTTTCCAACGTAAAGAGTGCAACCCGGTAAATGCACACGGAATCCGACGACATCGTAGAGCGGGGTGTCAGATACTCCTCGTTAGTATAGTGGACAGTATCTCCGCCTGTCACGCGGAAGACCGGGGTTCGATTCCCCGACGGGGAGAACTTTTTTGTTTTCTGCTGAAGGATCGCACTAGAGCGAAGGTCATGTATTACAATAGCATCCAGTAGAAACGACTTTGTACGATCTTTCTCAAACTTAAGTCACAGTCACAGTGACAGCCTGCCTATCTCCATTGGATATGTTGGAAGCTAAGCTCACAGTTTCTGCGCTGCTTGTGGAACTGGACACCAGCTCTTCACTGTTGAATGCTGCAGGGGTTGAATGTGGAAAAAGCTTATGGGCACATAACTCCAGGAAGCCCAGGTAGTGTCCAAATGGCACCAGGTGAAGAGTGCAACCCGGTAAATACACCACGAGTCCGTCGACATGGCAGATGTTGGCGCTGCGACAGTCCTCGTTAGTATAGTGGACAGTATCTCCGCCTGTCACGCGGAAGACCGGGGTTCGATTCCCCGACGGGGAGAGTTTCTTTGTTTTCTGCTGAAAGAGGTCACCTAAATCATTGCACCAGAGCCAAGGTCATGTAATACAACAGCATCCAGTAGAAACTACTTTGTACGATCTCTCTCAAACAAATCTCCATTGGATATGTTGGAAGGCATATCTCCACATTTTAGTCAGCTGGATAAAGACAACTCAAAATCCAGTGTCCAGACACTCTCTTTTTCTTCATTTGGTGACAGTGGACAGTTGCCATCACATCTAATGTTAACGATGTCAATGGCATTTGTAACGTTTACATTACTTTTGAATAAATTGGTTAACTTAAAAAAAAAAATCCTTCAGTTTTTTACTCGTTACTCTGCTTTACCTTTTCTTCTTTGGTACCACTTTCCATTTCATTTGTATTTTCAATTCGTTATCTTTCAGCTCATTTGATCATTGATTTGATTATTTCTCTCCTGACCTCTGAAATTACATGAATGGACACATCCACTTGAAGGGGTAGGCGAGGTGACGATGGTCCTGCAGATTCCTTGCAGTACAGATAACCTGTTTGGGACGTTGTAACGACCAAACCCTCCAATATCAAGCGGTAGCTGGTTGACCCCCCCCCCAATTTTTTTTTTTTTAACTACATGGCTGATACGACATGATTTTCGACTTGATTGGCAGTCTTAGTCCTGCATTCAAACGTTTATTTAAAATAAAAAATAAAGAAAAAGTAAAATTAGTAAATAAAAGAAATATTGTCAGTAAATGTATATCAAACATAATAGTACCTGTCCCCTGTGACTGACTTGAAGTATCAAACATAAAAGTACCTCAAACAATTATTTAAATAAAAGCAACGGAGTGTTTAAGAGGGGAACTGCAAATAATTCATATACTGTATATGCAACATGACAACAGGCCCAAGCACACACTGATTTTTTGTGAGGGGTTCCTTTTTTTATTTCAAAATTTACCATGTTTTAATTTAAAATCATAATTTGAAAGATAACCAGTAATTTAATCTGTCAGATAAAGATAGTAGAGTACAAAGTACAATATTTCCCTACTGAACTTTGGTGGAGTAGAATTATACAGTAACAGAATATGTGAATACATGAGTTAAGTACAAGTACCTACAAATTGTACTTGCATAAATGTATTTATTTACATTCTACCACTAGTTGACCATGGTGGAGGAACCTTGTCTTCCCATTTATAAAGGAGCGGTTGTAGATAATAGCTAAGAACACGGGGCTATGCAGCCTTAACAAGACCCTAATCCTGTAAACTCTGAGTAGGCTCTATAAATCTCCCATTTCTTGTGGCTTTCTAAATGCTCATACATGTAATCAATTGGTCGAAGTTCTTTTGTTTTTCACATAAAGATGTAGTTTAAAGTTTAATGGGATGTTAGTGGTGATCCAGTTGATGGAATGTTAGGGAGGTCTTCTCTTGTTGGCTAAAAACCCTCTTGGTTTTGATCACTGGCAATCAGGTAAATGCTTATATCTCTGATAATAAACAAATACTCTCACCTTTTATATGCTTATTTGGGGGCTAAATTCCCTCTAAAAAGATAAGTCTAAACAAAACTACAAAAAGACAACATTCAGCTAAAATCATTTAGATGTTTTAGGGCTGTCACTCCTCTTGTTTTTTTCCACATCTAGGAAATTTATATATCTTCTCTGTATCAGACAGCATTAGATTTGGTGAATTTAGCCTCATTTGACTGATAAAATATTAAACTACAACACAGGCCTTTTTATATTACAGTAATTTCATTAAATGTTGATGTTTGAATATATCATATACCAACTGCAGCAAATGAAGCCCATTAAAGAAATGGACCCCTGTATGAATGCATATGCCCTTGAAGATGTGATTTGAATTTTACATTTATAATTTTAAATTTGCAAATATATAGATTACTTATCTTTCCACCATTGCACTGTGAAGCATTACTTCATGGAAATGGGATAAAGAAGTGACACACTAACATGAAAACATTAATTTTATTTTATAATCCAGATTCATTACTTTAGTTATAATTGTATGCGGTTAAAAGCTGTATCGAACATACAGTAATTTATCTGGCAAATGAATTCTTTGTGATGCAAAAAGCCTTCAAAATACCAACTGAAAATGTCTTTTTCAATTTCTTACAAATTTCACACCCTCTGAATGGTGAGTCCATCGTTTCCGAACCCTGTGAGGAGATATGCTGTACAATTGGTGACTCAGTCGGTGGAATGCATTGCACCAATATGATCTTCAAACCAGTGCAGTCTATGACCGATTATGTACAGCCTGACAATTCCATACTCACAAGACTAAGAGGCCATAATCTTTACCTACAGATACTGCTCAGCATCAATTCCCTTGGAATCACATGAGCTGTATGTTTGGGTATTTCTATTCCTGCTGAAATGATCTGTCATTGAAAGTGCTTAGAATTTAAGATCAGTGTCAGGCATCCAGATGTTTGTTGAGCCGGCGTACTTTCTCCTTCTTGTTCCTGTTCCCATGTTTTTTCCAGGGTTTGCCCACCGCCATCTCCGATTCAGCTTTACCTGGGCCAATGGGTCCACTGCCTGGTTTGTAGCCCATGACGGACTGAACTCCCTTGGAGAGTGCCCGCACATTCTCCTAAAAACAGAGATTGCATCACTGCTCAAACATTTAATTTCACAATAAAGAGCCTCTCTCCTTGCTACATACTTATACGTGTTTGATTTTCTGATCAATGAATAACTACTATCTGTGAATTTTCCTCACTAGTCAGGAGACAGCAGATGTACTGTACCTGATGGAAGAAATTCTTGTCAACCACATTTTCAATTCTCTTGATTTTCTGTTGTTTGTTTGTTATTGTGGAGAGGTCACAGCCGGAGTCTCTATTCTGGAACTTGCAGTGCTGTGGCTGGAAGTCTTCCGCATTAATATGAGGAGGAGGATGGCAATACAGAAGCTTGCCCTGTAAGGCGTCAACATTGTTAGGAAAGGTGTGTTATATGATGTTATATTCAGGATGCACATATATTAAGTAATATAGGGATTATTGGTCAAAAAAAAAAAAAATCTAAAGTTCTAATTCTTTGGCAATGATCATAATTTCATAGAGCAATATGCAGCTATATGGCCAAAGGTCCTCACTGTCTTTTTAGACAGACTTAATGTAACCAGTAGATTAAAATACAGAAATTAATTTTACATTATTTTGTTAATTAGAGATATAACATGATTTTGAAGAGACTGTCTAGACATTTAGGTTTTCAATAGGAGGTCCCTTTAGGCCTATTCAACCATACCATCCTACTTTTCAGAAGTTGGCAAAACCACCAATAAAATGTACATACAACTGAAACTTTTTAAATCTGACCCTGGTTTGGCACTTACACTGACGAAATCCTTCAGGATATACCGTGCTGATCTGGACTGATCAGGCTGCCCATGGGACGTCATAAAACCTCTCATGTCTGGAAAAAAGACAAACACGGGATAAACATTTTATACAGCTCTTGTCTAACCACATGGTGCTTTACAAAAACAAAAAGAGTTAATACTGAGTCTATAAAAATACATTTTATGAATTTAGATCAACGATTATAAAGATGGATCATTGTCATAAGCAATCTCCATCCACAGTATGCTGACAAATAAATGTTTTGGGCTATTGTTAATTAATCTGTCTGGTAGTCTCACATCCATAAGCCATCAGTAACTCTTCAGAAGTAGGGGGTCTGTCAGGGTCTTCATCTTCTCGTGGTCGGATTATGTTGATGCCGTAGGTACCTTCTAACACATGCCGAGGGACTGTCTGACATATGTGTCAAATATGTTAAGGACTGAACCACAATCAGCATCCAAGGAATGCCTGTATTGACATATCACTGTAAAATTTATTTTAGTTTTTGAAGCATTTGAAGTTATTACTTATAACAAATGAGAGCACTATTACAATTATTTATACTGGGGCATACTCACAGAAGCTTACTTTCAATCACAGCGTTTCTTTAGAATGTAGACGACATTTCCTATAAACCATCTTGCTTCCTGCTACAGAAGATCTATAAATATTGGATTCTGCAGGTGCTGTGCCAAATGCATATAAAGGATATAAGAGAGACTGCAGGTACGTGGTCTCTCATTTGATCAATGGGCAGGATCCCAGAGCAGATCATCTCAGCTTTGGTAGAGACAAAGGAGGGCATGACAAGACCTGGGCAGTCACAGAGGCACAGGCCTGGCTCCACATATAAGGTCTGCAATGCATGTAAAAAGAAAATGTCACAAAACAATCACACCTTAGGCTTTCTGTTGATGTTATGCATTATCTGAATTCATATAGAAAGATTTAAAGACTAGTCCTGTACCTGAAAGTGCTTAGTGTGTCCAGGAGTGGCAGAAACAGACACCTTCTTGTTCCTTAGAATAGTGTTGATAGTGGAACTTTTTCCCACATTAGGATACCCAACCTGTTAAGATGTATACATGATGGAAAAGGAGCATTTACATTATTTGACAGGGTGATAGGTAGTTTTATAAAACCAACACAGCTGCATGTTGATTCTATTGCTTTAGCCTCTCTCTTTAACCTCTGTAAACACTTAAGTTACAAAAATCTTGCTGCACATTAGCAGCAAGAGTAAGGCCCTCTCATAAGCACCTCAGCCCATAAATGCTCCGACAAATCTCCTCCAAATAGAATGTAAACAGAACAGAGTTCTTCAAATGTTATTTTCCATTTAGGGCACATTTTATATTATGGCTATAGTGAAAACAAACACAGCAACATTTCTATATAAGACTACTCTACATGTACCAGAGCGAGAACTTTTACCCACCAGTCCCACTGTGAGTTGTCCTTCTTTACACCTGGTCCCCTTGTGAACAGCCCTAAACATGTCCAGCAGCTCATCCTTATGCAGCAGACGGCTGGAGTTGTGGAAGGAGGATTCATTGGATGAACCAACAGTCCTCTCCTCTTCTTCATCCTCATCTTCTGAGCAGGTGTGCCACTCCTCCTCATCTACAATGATCTTTTCCTGCTGCTCGTCCTCTGTGCCACTATCTTCTCCCTCTTCATCCTCCACATCCGCCTTCACCTCCTCCTCCTCTCCATCTGCCCCTTTATGGCTCATGTCTTCAATGTCTGGCTTTGCTTCCTCTTCTGGGTCACTGTCTCCACACTCTGGACCCTCCACTTCCATGCCCTGTGGTAAGAGAAGTCCGTCACTTTAATTCTGGGTTTACGTCAGCAGTGAGTATATAGATGCTAAATGATTCTTCAGAGGGATTTCTCCGAAACCATTTGAAATTAAAAAAACGGATAACCATCGCCTCCCCATGAAAAAGCAATGTGGATCTACAGTTATCTGCTCTCAAGGAATGCACTGTAAATGTATAAACACATTCAATGAAGAGCGCATCAAATGTCCATCCCCTTACCTTGTCCTCTGCATCTAGCCTGTTGCTCTCAGCCAGGGCAGACCAGAAAACTGCCCTCAGCCCCTCCTTCTCAAAGTGTCTGGCCCACACTCGCCTCTGCTCCCTGGTTAGCAGGTCTGCCTTGTTCACTAACAGCATATTCACCTTATCCTTTGACACCTCCTTTACATATGACTCCTGGAAGCACACCAAGAAAGACATTATAAATCAATCGATATAAGTACATTTCACTTGTAAAATGTTAAGATTCATCTACACACAGTATTTCTCCTGGTTAAAATCAGGAATTTAGGAATTATGTTGGCATGTGAATTGAATAAAATAATAAAGTTTTCTATGAAAAAATAACAGCACAAAGTGTATGAGAATTCAACATAAGGACAAACTGTATAAATGTGACTTCTATCTACTTAAGCAGTGTACACACAGCCCTTTCCCCACTGAAGCACTTCTGCCACTGTTAAAAATAAGCATTCTTACCAGGTCAGGACATCTGAACAGCAAAGGATTTCTGGCATCAACAATTTGGACGACGACATCACTAGATGAAAAAAAAAAAAAGAAGCCAATTTTTGCCTTGAGCATCACATAAGGAGAACATATTCCTCATCAAGGACAGGGTTAAACTGAAAGCTGTACAGAGGTTTTATTTCTACCTCCTCTCGATCACTCTCCACAACTGTCTCCAGAACTCAAGATTCCTCTCAAATGGGGTGAGAATTAGCTTCTGTTCTTCTTCCAGCCTGTGGAAACAACACTTGTGGTTAGATTACCTGCACTGATGATCCAGCACAAATGTCACATAATTAATATATCTCAAAATGCACAAATGTTCTTCAGTGTGAAAACTTTTTACTTAGTAAAACAGAATTATACACACTGTGCAAGCTCTCGTCTCCACTCCAAGAAGCTGTCTTTCTCTGCCTGCTGAAGTGCATCTGGACTGGTGCCTTCATCCCAGTGGGGGCTTAAAACAATGAGAGACACAGCAACACTTATAAATGCAAAATATACTTAAATGTTATAAAATAACGTAGATCTCTTGCGCTTACCGTCGAGGAATCCTAAGAAAATGCTTGTTGTCCTCATGAAGCTTCTTCAGCCTGGTTTTCTCCTCAGCTGTTAAAAGGCCTGCTCTAGCTTCCGCTGGCACAAACCTGATGTTGAGTTTCTCTAAGAAAACAAAGCAAGAACAGTCTGATTCAGCAGTGGACTCATAGGATAAAGGTGCAGTGGGTAACACAGTAACATGTGGGTATGCAGCAACCTGTACAAATTTGGTGTGAGAGCCAGTAATTTACGACATCTGCATTCAGTTTGACATTATGTTTGCAACCATGTCGGAGAATAGTATGTACTGGGGAGATGAATACTCCTTGCAATGCTTGTTATGTGAAGATTATTTACATTTTTTGGCCACATCATATATGTACAACATACAACCACATGAGTTAAGTGAAGTGCCACTTACCTGCAACAAACTCTGTTCCTGCCAATTCAGCAGTGGCCAGGAAGTCATCCATGGAACTCTGTTCAGTTACCGACTGCAGGTTCAGCCGTCCCCAGTCATAGCCATCATTCAGTTCACTGGTGTGGAGCTGGAAACGCAAAATGAAGGCCAAATAACGAGTTACAGGGAGGAGTGCAGAAAAAACCGATCCAATAGACATAGTAACTGTCATTATGAGATACTGCAAGCATGTGTTCCTTATGGTTTGTAATATCATGATTGCCCTGCATGGGTAGTAGTAGCAATCCCAATGAGCCAGTTGTGAAAGTTTTGAGAATGTAAAAAAAAAAAAAAAGTTCCTGGAAAACTGATCTCCATGCCCAATTCACCACAGGAACCTATTTAGTGTGTGTGGAGTATTTTTACCCAGTGATTGTATATACAGAAGTATTGGACAGCTTGGGGATCCACTCAAATGGTGGGAAAGACAGAAATGTATATATCCTATACACCTTTTTTGTTTTTTGTGTATCCAGCCTCATCTGTGCTGAAAGGTTGTTCTCAAAGGCAGGAGAGCATATTAAAAAATGTCTTAGTCCAAAGACAGTTGAGAAGGTTTTACTTACTACTTACTACTATAAAAAAATGAATTAAGTGATTTTCTATTATACATATTCTTTGCCCACATTGCACATTGACTAAAATTTTACACTTAAGTTAAAACACAGATATTGAGCCTAACTTGACTGATATTAATACATTTGATGCATAGAAAATATATTTTGATTGCTTTTACAGTAATTACTATAAACGTAATCTTAGAATAACTAAATACAATCATGGCTTCCCTTATACTGATATCTAATTTGTATCTTACCAGTAGATATCGCTCTATTGTCATGAAGCATGCAGAAATGAAGTGGTTCAGCAAGGAACCACTTTCCTGGAAGGGTTCGGTGCTTCATAAAACTTCTTCTTCACTAGTATTCATGTATTAACTTCACTTTCCTGATCTATAAAATATCATTCTCTTGAAGGAGTTTGGCGCAAGCAACGAACCACAGATACTTATCAGACCCGCTGACATCCCTGCCGACGCCCTGTTGTAGTGAATGAGTTAAGTGGCAGGGATACAGCGAGATAACTGTAATCTAGTATGCGTTTTAAACGTGTTTAGGAAAGCTAGTTGTTGCGGTGTCATACCCAGGAGTCGCCCCTCTTGTTTCCTCGGCCTGCCTGAAGTCTCTCTTTTATCAGAGCTCTGCCGAGTCCACCTCCTCCGCCGGCCTTCTTCTTGCCCATAGTAGCTTCTGGTGATGCCACTTCACACAAAACACTGTGGTTTAATAAATCTGAAGGGGTAAACGTGTTATCTGTTAGTACTTCTTCTAGCTACTGCTCTCCATGTGCACTACGTTGTTGTCGTAAGAACCGGAAATGGGTCAAACCAATTGACTGTTATGTCTGGACAGATCTACTTAAACTCCGCGAGATAAATATACTTAATTTCAATAGTTATTGCTTCACATATCATATCTCAGTAACTAATCCCTAAAAAGCTCAAGATAATATCTGCTTCTTTATGTGAGTATCCATGGCAGGCTAACGCAGTTATGGTACAGTCCACTTGTTGGTCCAGCGATTAAATGTGCCCTGAAGAAAATGGGACAGTGACAATTTTCTTTCCTCGTGCCTAACAGCAGTTAGTTTTATAGCCAAATAAATATAAAATCAAACCTCATAAATTTGATAATAAGTCACAAAAGCATTATAGTGCGAAAAGTAACAAATCATCAAATGAAAATCATCTTCCATCATCACACAAAAACGCACAAGATTAACTAATGCACCTTTGATGTGAACCGAAAGATGGCAGCACAAAACAGCAGTGTCTGAGTGATTCCTGCTTCCTCATAAACCAAGTGGCATAGGTCTGGTAGCCTAAATATTTGCCTTCTGTAGTACTTTACTTATTTCACGTAAGACTCAGAAGTGAATTCATACCATTTCATTTTTATTGTTAGTTTTGCGTTTAAAAGCTTTCAATTGAGAAGGAGCGCATTGACATCTAGGTTTAAGTTAAACCATAGTATATGGACTATATATTTAAAGGGAAATTACCTTTTCTTACTCCAATTGAAAAAAGACTATTTATTTTTCAATTTTTAAAATTATTCCTTGTATTTTTTGGCAACATGAAATGCTGTAATGTAATAACAACAAACGTAGGCTAATTTAGGCGTGTTGCCTAAATAGTCAGTTTGATCTGCCTGAAGTAGTTTTTAATCATTTTAAAATCGTAAATCTTACTGGTTGGTCTATTTGCTGAAACCATGTGAAAACATTAAACAAATGTAGGAGTTTTGCGTCAATGAACATAGTCATCACGCACGAGTCAACAGATACTAATACAGGTCTATTGTCATTTGGTTCAGTCCCCCTACAGTCTGACTGAAATGGTTTCTCCCTGTATATAAGCAGTGAGGCTCTTCTCACTGTGGTAGACTGTACTCTGCACTACATTGAGATAAGACGGGAAATATGGACAAGAGCCCATTAGAGAATGGACAGATGAAGTACGATGTGTTCAGTTCTCATAGAGTAGCTCATAAATGACCTGACAGGCAGTAGGCTAAACACTTTTAGAATTTAGAAGTAGCCTAATAAAAAGTTGTTTTCTTTCTCTCTCAGTGTTGCTGTGGACTGGAATCAGCAATAAAATGCTGCCTTGGAAGAAGAATAAGTTCGACCTGATTGAGGAAGACAAGCAATCTAAACAGAAGGGCTATGCGGTGAGTCTCAACTATTCGGCGCTCACCTCCTTCGCCAAGTCCTGCCCCGAGAGCGCGCTCAACAGGGTGGGCAGCATGTTCAAGTCAAAGAGGAAAAAGGTGAAGATCACCAGCGAGGACCCCACGTACACGGTGCTCTACTTGGGGAATGCCACCACCATCCAGTCCAAAGGGGACGGCTGCACGGACGTGGCGGTGAGCAAGATCTGGGGCAAAAGCGAGATGGGCAAGAACGGCACCAAGATGAGGCTGACCATCAGCTCACAGGGCATCCGGATGGTGCATGTGGACGACAAGGCTAGGAGACCGGGACACTTGTACTTGCTGCACCGGATAACCTACTGCGTCGCGGACCCGAGGCTACCCAAGATTTTCGCTTGGATTTACAGGCACGAGATGAAGCACAAGGCCGTGATGCTGCGCTGCCACGCAGTGCTGGTGTCCAAGCCGGAGAAGGCAAAAGCCATGGCGCTGCTTCTTTACCAGACCTCGGCCACAGCCCTGGCTGAGTTCAAAAGACTAAAACGGAGAGACGATGCCAGGCACCAGCAGCAGCAGCTCATAGGGGAACAAACCATCCCGCTGGTCCCCCTCAGAAAGCTGCTGAACGGACAGTGTTACTACAAACCCCCGGTGGAGCGCAGCCGGAGCGCGCCAAAGCTGGGCTCCATCACAGAGGACTTGGTCGGGGAGGAGGAGGAGGAGAAAGCGATGCACTTTGAGTGTGAGGACATTCTGGACACGGACGATGATTGTGTTGCCAATGGCAAACGGGAGTTGACTCAGATTATTAATGACTTGGGAGAGATGAGCATAGGAAACGATGTGCAGACACTGAAAGCTGACCTTAGAGTCACCAGACTTCTCTCTGGAGAGAGCACGGGGAGTGAGTCCTCCATAGAGAGCAACCAGGAGCCCCCTCCGCTCACTAATGGGTTTGAGGAGGTAAAAGTGCAGGAAATTGCCTGAATAATTTTAGGCACTTCTGGGCGCTTCTGACGCATTGTTTTGTTGAGCCACGATGTCTCCACAAGAAACATTTTCTCTGTTGTCAATCTTGTGTTGGAGAGTGTTTGTCTAATCTGTGCCTCCACGACTAATTGAAAAGACCCAGAAAAGATCCTCCATGGTTCTGGGACCATTACCGCACACGAACACATGATTAGGCTACTGAATGATATTTTAAGATTGTGTAAACACAGAAAAAAAAAATTGGAAAAACAAGTGCATGTCCGTTTGCGAGATGATAGGTTGAACCGACAAAATCCCAGTGCGCCTCAGGACGCACGGCACTAATTCCATCTCTTTTATTTAAGAGGATTTGTTGTAGCCTCAAGCTTGTTTACCTAACTTTTTTTTCTCTCTCGTGAAAATGGCATTTTCCTACTGAAAAATGCTTATCATGATTTTTAAAAAACATTCTGTTTTAAAGCACGTTTATTCCTAAGTGGTTCAGTGGGTTTAAACAGGCATCCTTAATTTCCTTGTCAGGGCGCTTCTGTAACAGCCTGCTCATTTACTTTATTTTGCACTGTTGTGGAATTCATTCAAGTATTATGTTGACTACATGTATATAATGTTTGTTGGTATGTTGTCTGAAACATAAAAGTCATATCTTTGCTGTGCAAAAGAAAAAACACCTTTATGTATTATGATGTAAAGTAAGATGTTTTAAGTATAAATATGTTATTTTTTAAAGAATAAAAAATGTGGTTTGTTATGTGAACCTCATAGAATTATCAATAAAAAAAAAGAAAATGATACAAAGTTGTTGAAGTTTATATGTAGTTATGTGTGTTAAAAAGCACTGAAGGAAAACATGGCCTACGTGTTTTCCTTCTTCTCTTGTTTTTTTTTTTTTAACATGAATGGGAGTTTACCTTGAAAGTCTCAAACTGAGGTCAGATTTGTCCTGCTTAAAAGTCACACAGAGGCTGGAAACACAGAGATACAGTATTTCTCAGCTGTGTGGGTCTATAGGTTGTCAGTGTTATCAGGGTCTCTGTGGGTCTCTGTGTTGTTGTAAATATGTTTTTATTTAATAGTCTTGGCTGAATCTGAACCCCCCCCCCCCTTTTTTTTTTAACCACATTGCTTTAGGGGAACAGGCTGTAAAAGTGATTCAGTCAATGTACTGAAGGCCCATTCATTCTGACTGGCCTCAGGGAAGCCAGGCCTCAAGAGGACGTCACCACAAGCACAAGCTGTTAGAACATTACGTTGGTTCTTTAGTGACAAGGCAGCAGATGCACCAGAGGACCTTTAACAACATACTGGCTGTTTTCTATTTGCTATTATGTCTGTCCTCCTTTGGTTAGACATTACAGATAATATATTAAGAGTCAACAAGACATTTACTGTATATAACACATACAGAATCATACATTCTACCAAGCAGGTAAGTTTCATTCACATTTGCCCTACTTACTGAAAACCAGACAAAACGCATTAGTGGTATTGTGTGTCACATCAACATATCAGCTATGAAATGAAAGGGTCACTGATGAAAGATTAGATTAGTTCCTTTTATGAAATGTCACCACATCAGGTTCAATATTTGGTATCAATTGCAGTGGCAAATAAACAGAATCAGCTCTCATGCCAGCACATGTAACATGTGATCAGAGTTGTGACTTATCAGTGGTGATACCACTTCTGCTGTTCTAAAAGTGGAAGACCTGCCACTGTCACTTCCTTTTCACACACAGCAACAGGCCCTATATGCACACGCCACAGCGTTCTTGCAAGTCATTTGGCTGAGACAAATATAACAGTATCTACTCAAACACAAATACTGATGCATTGATAAGCCACTGGTGTTACCTGCCGGGGCTGCTCTGGAGGAGCATACTGAGGTGCTCCTCTAGAGCCAGGCATATTCTCACTAACACCAGCAGCACTGATGCTGCACACTAACAGGGCTGAATAAGGCATGAGGAAGGAGAAAGCAGGCTTGCTGCTTCCCAGAGGAGGTGGATATGGGGATTGTTATCTGGACAGACTGTGTTTCACCAGCTGGCACAATCCCATTGGCCATGCTGAGGTATTCACTAAAAACAAAAACTCCCACCATGGATTTAGAGTAAAATCTAGAGACAGGAGGTTAATGTATTTCAGACAGTGGTTGGTGAGTTCTATGAAAAGCTTCACAGCAGCTCATTATGAGCTGATGTGCTTTCAGGAGACACACACACACTCTAAATCGAGACTGTTGTTGCTGTGTTTGTGGATTGTCAACTATTAACTGTGCATGTGAGCTGAAATAGAAACAGAGCACAGAAACCCACTCAGTTAGCTTCTCTTCCTCATGTGGTTTGATGCTCTGTCTACACCAGCTGCAGCCTCATGGAAGTCACATTCATACTGCGAAGACAGCATGACATCATCAGCATGGGCCCATCTTAATGTAATTAGTGGGCAGCCAGTATTCCTACCACATAAACATAAAGGCAGCGCAATAGGCCATTTGTCTGCTGCTCCTGCTTTGTAAAGCTGCTCAATGCATTTATAGTTTGATATTTCTCCCTGACCTACATTCTCATACAAGTGCTCTTGAGTCCCATCTCTGCAAAAGCAATCATGGCCTCACAATCTCCCAGGGTTGCCTGGAAATCGGCCACATGTGCAGATGCCCATTCACACGATTTAAGGTTCGAAAGTGTTTGTTGACGACAAGTGGTTGTAGAACACGTTTCTAGGTGCCAAGGGAGAGAGCTGAGTTCCTGACTGATATGACAGAATAAAAAAAAGGGCTTTTTTATATTCACACGTCACGTTCTTTTTCTCCTCAAACAAATATTCAGGTGTTTGCTTAACCTACTGTCAGGCAAGTGTGGGTCACAGGGAAGGAGGCTACGCATTCAACAAGAAAATTGTCTGTCAGTCACAGAGGTCAAGTGTTGCTGTTGGGTTTTAATGTCTGCCCTAAAAACTAAATTGCTGGTCAGGAATGGACAGGCAAATGTTGATGTTTTTTTTTCCTCTGACAGATGATCATGTATTAATTAAAAAAAAAAAAAATCTGATTTCTTAATGTGATTTAATTTGTATAAAAATACTAAAATGCAATCACTTGTAAATGGTTACAGGCAGATCCACCTACAGTGGGCTCAACTCAATTGCAGTTTAAAATCCCATTTGCCTTCCTTTTGCTATTTTTCCTTTCTTTAACATAAAAAGACTGATTATCCAAGTCCATGATGACTCATGCTTCTATAGGAAAAAAACAAAAAAAACAACAAGACGCTACTTAAGGCTACATTGAATGATCGTTTTTATTATTTAGTAATCTACATTATCCTGATAAATAGGTAAAAAATACCCTTCACAAATTCCAAAAGCCCAAAGTGCTGTCTTCAAATTGTTTGTTTTTGTACAACCAACAGCACAACTCCAAGATACAAGATATGTAGATAGATAAGAACGTCAAAATAGTTGCAGGTTAGTTTTCTGTCGATTGACTAATTGATTAATGGACTCATCTTTTCAGCTCTAAAGCTGTTAATGATTCTGTAACAGCAACAATTTGCTTTTATATAGGCTACCCAGTGGTGGAAGACGTATTCGGATTGTTCGCTCATGTAAAAGTAGCAACACTGCACTCCTCCACATAAAAATACTCCTTTGCAGGTGGAAGTCATGCATTCAACATGTTAACTAAAAATGTGATATTAACATAAAACTTAAAGTGTCAGAAGTAAAAGTACTCATCATTTAGGAAACCCCTTTTATATAATTTTATATTATTAACTCTGCATAGGAGGTTATGTTTTCATCCATGTTTGTCTGTTTATCAGCAGGATTATGCAAAACGTATGCTATTGAACTGATTTGCACCAAACTTGGTGGCGGGATGGGGCACAGGTCAGGGAAGAACACATAAAATTGTGGTGCCAGTTCAATTAAAGGGGCAGATCCAGGAATTTTTTTGCATAGCATTTTTTGTAGTTTTTGTAGTGTAGAAGTAATGCATGGATCTTGATGTAAAAAATCATATTGACATTTATGACAGCACAATTTCCAATAATCTGGATCCAATAATCTGGATTATATCTGGATAAACCTCATATAGATATATTATATGTTATTATCATTATTATTATTATTATTATTATTATTATTATTATTATTATTATTATTATTATTATTATTATTATTATTATTATTATTATTATTATTATTGTTATTCAGTGAACCCCCATATAATGAACATAAAGTTTTCTCTGGGTTTCTCTGGGTCCCTTATTGCTTACTGCAGTGATAGCCTGTAAGCACATGAAAACCCTTCATCAAAATTGATCACATCCATAATTCACTCAGAGAACTGCTCTGATTGAAGTACACTTAAAAATGCTCATGCAAACAATGAACCTGTTGGTCACAGACCGGCCTGACACAGAAGCAGGCAGGCAGAGTTTCCTAATTATCTGCTAGCAGAACGGCGCCACGGGCAGTCACTGTACCAGGTCATCATCACCAGTGCCAGGCAGCCTCACAGTTTAATTTTGAACTACAAAATCTGCTTGTCTATAATGCACGAGGGGAGCTGAGAAAGGACCAGAGCTTAGTTAGTGTGCCCAGATCTGATTACACCAGCTGCACGAGAGATGTCAGAGGGGTTGAATCAGAGCACAGAGGGGCAGTGACCTTCTCTTTACTGTGGAAACATATAAACGAATCTCTAAGAATAGTAACAGAGAGCAACATGTCCCAGCATGCCCTCAAAACATAATTAGATACTGTATGTAGACTGTACGTCAGAACTGGGGGCAGGTGAGGAGGAGATGGACGCAACGCTACTGTTTGTAAGGTGAAGGTGTGTAATTAACACACACTTCAATTACTTCGATTACAAAAACCACTGCTGAAGGTCATTTTACACATAACACCGGAGCAGAGGTGAAGCAGACCTAAGCAAAGTTATGGTGAATTTTGTTGACCTATCAAGGTGAAGATGATGTGGACGTTTGGACCCCATGCTTCGCAGACAGACAGTGTCAGACAGTGTCAGAGTCAGAGTCCACCTATGACACTAGCAGGATGATGGCTGAATGTCAGAAAGACAGACAGACAGTACAGTACAGTGAGAGACAGAAAGACAGAGAGAAATCCATTATGGTGCCAACCTCAACTCTCATTAGTTTGAATCTGACAGCTATCCTCTGGGAGTTGTGTGTCTACGCATTCAAGTGCACTCTGTGGTACAAGTCCTT